AAGTTTTCATTTTGTGATATTAGAAAATAAAGCTTATCTTTCAAAATTTACTTTTATTAAACATGCCTTTAACATGCAAAGATATAAAACTATAAAACTTACAAAACTTATACAAAAATATAAAACTTTTATCTAAAAACAATATAGATATATCAAATCTTTATATATGCTATTTCATAAAGACATCTACAAGTTTTTAAAAATCTTATTGAAATCACAAAACTACTTTAAAATATTACTATTTGTGAATTACACAGTACAAGTTAAAAGAAAAAAATTTGATATTATTAAAAATTGAAGAGCGAAGAACTTGAAACTACTGCTTGGAAGAGTGAAGATATAAGTCATGTATATGTATCTATATAAACATGAACACAGATGGCGCCAGGAGAGCGTGTTTTCATGGATCTAACCGCAACCACGTTTTTTCATGATTTTTCTTTTAATTTTATTTTTGACTCGGGGGGGCTGCGCCCCCCCCCCCTCCTGCGCCCCACCGCACCCCTGCACCCCACATGGATGGCGGATTTATGTCCCTCGGGGCTATAAAATAGTGAACGATACTCGGCCGCTAAGTGACACTTAATGGCCCGGCGAGTTTGGGCCCGAGCGCCAGCTAAGTGTCACTTATCGCCCTTGTATCGTTAATTACTATTTGGGAGGATTTGTCTGAGCACGGAAAGACATTTAGAAAATACATTAGAGAAAAAAAAGGAAGGTACCATGACTCTGATACAAGATGTCGATACATAGGTAGTTAGGTTTCTACTTGCTTACATTTACATTTAGTTTGCAGAGGAGCGTAGTGTCTTATTCGACACTTCCCTATACATTGCAAAAATTTTCCATTTGACAATTTTTATAGCTGGATTCACGACGAATAATAAAAAAAATTTTATTTTCGATTAATAGGAGTCGAGTTTAGATTAGTAGTATAGTAGGCTTTTTTTATTTCAATCGCATCTCTCGTAAAAATAGAGATGAAAAAGTAAATATAGTGGCATTCGATACTTAATGAATTATACTTTTTTTATCTTTGTTACATTTCAAAAATTTTACCCCTTTAATATTTATAATAAGGTTTGAAATATAGTGCTGCAAAAGTTAAAAGTCGGACGCGGTGGTGGGGAAACTCAACCCGCCCATCTTTTTGCGCTCGAAAAATCTGAATAATGCATCAATTTCAACATTTTATTTTAATCTGGGGTAAGTTTGAAAACTGTTAACAATAACATCCTTATTATCTATGTATTTATTAAGTTTAATTTATTATTTGCTGTACTTACATGGCTAGTTACAATTTGCATGGTTAAATGGTGATAATATTGAAAAATATGAGTCATCAAACTATTTTTTATAATATTACACATTATAAACACATAATTATTATTATTAATTAAAAAATTATGCATCTACTTCTTTTAAGCGCAGATTCACGTGTATCATTTATTTCATTTTCGTTTTGTGTAACTTTTATACTCTACTCTTTCGATATTATATTATATTAAAATACCCTACAACTTCATGCAGCTGCTGCAAAAATGGTTTAAAACGTTCGAGATTGTATGGATTTTGCTCCGGAGAAAATTGCATAAATATTTTTGTATTTATACAAAACATGTATATTGTATAAATAAATATATATAATACAAAAATTATATAAATATATAATAATAACAATCAACAGAATATTTTTAACAGAAGACGCAGTAAGTCGGTATTACGGTGGATGCGCGCCATGAGGGCTGTAGCGGCCACCGTACGACTGCGTCTGTTCTTGACTAAAAGCAAACGCGGTACCCAGCTTGCTGAAATTTTTCTAGTGTCCCATTTCTCATGCAAAATCGAAATTACTGTACTTTTTGAAACATCTGTGACCTAAGCTATTTTGCGCAATTGTATTCTGCAGTCACTTATAACACCATGTCATGGATTTTATAGCGATTATTTCCGGGCTACTCACATCTGCAGGACGGCCTGAATAATGTTCATCTTCAGTCGATGTACGGCCAGGTATAAATTGATTTATCTAATTGTAAACAATTGCAAAATACAGGGGCAGATACACCATAAATTGGATCTATCTCAGCTTTGATTTTTTTGGTGTAAGGTCTTTTAAATAAAAATGTTTTATCACCGCTTGGAACTTATTTTTTTCCGTTGTTAGCAATAAGCAAATGTTGTTCACTTTGATTGACAGAGAAAACGGAACCACTTGATGGATCTGGATGAAACTTTAGCAGCACTCTATTTAGAAGTGACGCTTACGATACCAACTTAAGGAGGTTCGCGACAGTCACCAGGGGGGTTGGGGTAAGGGGAAAGTGCCTATGCTTTAACATAGGATGAAATCAGTGGCGCAAACTGTAGATAAATGAATTCAATGTTCTGTATTATTGTACTTAGATGAGTATGAACTGGTAAAAATGATGAGAATTGAACATTCATCACAAGTATCTACTTCTAATATGCGTTAGTCGTCAATTTTTATGTTTTTATTTGAATTATGAAAGTATGAATTAGAGGTAACGATCTGGCAACATAGCATACTTCGAAATTTATTTTTCTTAAGTTGTCATCAACGAATCTCCTGGAAGGAGATATTAAGTATCAACAACGGAAAGCAAACTGTCATAAAATCTAAAAAAATACTTCAGAATATTTTGAATTTTTTAAAAACTCAAGTTTGATTACAATTTATACGTCGAATTCACAGTATTTATTTAAATTATTTGCATGCCAAAGATTAATGTACATTATTTATTGGTTATTTGAAACGACAATAAAGCGTTTTTAATAAAATATTTATTCCATTAATGTATTTTCAATTCAACTTAAATTAATAAAAAAAATCATAATGTTGAATAAGTTTCGTCTAAATCATTTGAAAATTAATTCAATTTCAATTCATAATAAATATAATCGTATCTGCTCTGCAATACCGGCTACGGTAAATATATCGATATAGTGTTTGCGATGTTGCCGCACTTCATTAGTTAGCACCATGAGCTTGGATTAAACTAGAAAATTTTTATACTAAAATTACTATTATTTAATCGGAATCACGGTTAGCCATGAGTTTAAACACATAAAAACAATCATCGATTAATTCTCTTTCAAACCGTCTTTACAAATTAAAAATCTGTGCTTTTTTCATCCAGTTATTCCCATAAGATAAAGTCAATTTACTCATTTACACGAGAAGTCTATTTAAAACAATGCTAATTATACGCATTAATTTCTCCAAAACTACGCGGTCAAAAATTTTGAAAAAAATCAGACATCAATGTTACGTCATACTCTACCATAGTTTTCAATTTCATGAAAATCTGTGCATTTTCATGACACTCCTGAACCTCCTTAAGTTATTATGCTTTGCGCGCCATATCTTGGATTTTCTAAGGTCTTATTGACCCACATTTGTAGCAACATAGAGAACTTACAACACTATATTAATTTTGCTTTCTTGAAAAGGAAGCTTTGCATTGAAGAATTTTTAATTATGTTTCTTGAATATAGTTGAAAAATAAGGAAAAGCTTATAAAAGTGCTTTTTTATGTATAATTTTCAATGTTTTACTCTGTTCGTAAAATTCTTTAGCATGTTTACAATTTTCCACTTATCTTATTGCTAATACTCTTAATACACGTAATGATTATTCTGATGATATGTAAATGAATATTTTCTAAGTAATAGGTGTTTTAGTAAAATCTTTATCTCCTTTTACATTAAAATTTTTTTAAATATTTAAATTAGTTACATCTTTAGAATAATAGGAATACTTTTATTATAAACAGCGATGACTATCTAAAATATTTATTTTTGAATTAAAGCGGCATTAAATAATATTCTTCATAATTGAATGTATTTTTATTCAAGAAGATCTCATCAATCTGCAAACATTAACATGATTTTTTCTTTTGTTAAGGAAAATGATGTATACATGCATTTACACGAAACGTCATCTATACTTACCTGAATTAAGTTTTTTCATTTGAAAACTATATTATAAGTTTCATTGAACTATTGCTAAGGTCAAATATCTAGCTTACTAAAATTTATAGAATACAAATTAAGGAAAAATCACGATTCTTTTTGTTGTTCAAGAAAGCACTCCGCCATAAATACAATGAATCTAGAAAATAATTGCTGTTATGTATAACTAGTATAGTAATCAATCATACATCTATTATTTATTTGTTTTCCAACTATTGAAGTAGACTTCATTTAATTTCTCTATCTAAGTGGTGAATAGTAAAATAAAATAAGCTATAGTATCAATGTACAGAGTATGCATTTACGTGTGCGCGGTTGCATATATGCGTGTGCATGAAATAAGAAAATGTGTATACACACATTTATACACACATCTATGTGTGCAAATGATTTATTTTACTACATGGGACTAAATGGTATCAAATAATTCCAATACATAAGTTAAATTTATCCATATCGCAAGAACCGAGAATAAAATTTAAATAAAAATCAATTATCACATTTTTTCTACAGTTACAAGCAAATCAATATTACAGTCATCTCAAACACTTTCATAAGTAAATCATTTAGGTGTTACAGAGAATTATTATTTTAAGAATTACATTAATATTAAACGCTTTAGTGGATACTACATATGTGTATACAATTGTATGCATACATAGTCAGACTAAGGAGCATACAAAAATTTCATTTCTAAAGACGTTCATATGCTTCAAGCTCAAATCTATGACAGTTGCTCTACAGAGCTACTGTGATTTTAATAATAATCTATCATAATAATAAAATAAATTCTAGTGCTGATTAATGTGATCTTTTATATCACTTACCACATTATTCGTTTGAAGCAGGTACATTGAAATTAGATGTGGTTGATTTTTAATAGAAAATTATGGACATTGGAATATGTTTTATTCAAAAAATATTGTAAATTACCATTAACAATCAATTAAGAAAAGTTATTTGTTATTTCGAACTATAAAAGAAGATGTTTTTTAGTAACTTACTTGTATGCAATGGATTTTTTAATCGAAATGTATTGTCCACAAGAAATGTGTTTCTGTGTGTGTGTATGCGCACGCGCGCACGTGTGTGTGTGTGTGGGTGGATAAGTGAGTGTTATAGAATTTTGTATTAGCAGCTGTATGCATGTGTATGCGACGAGTATGGTGTATTATAACTATTTTTCTATTCTTCACAGCGATAGAAACTTGATCGTTTTTTCTTTGACTTTTTTTTTTTAATGAACGGAGCATGGATTACGGTTGCATGATGAACACTACATGACGTGTCGTGAGTTCACTTCATGTCTTTAGGACTTCTAACACAGCAATAGTTTATATTTTGACAAAATCTGTACTGAGAGTTAAGTGGAGAAGATTGATTAATTTTGTTACATGAAAAATTCATTACTGTTGTTTCCTAGTAAATCTTTATTAATTGCCCTCTATAGCTTTACAAACAGCATAAAAATAGTATGTTTCAAAAATTATGTTATTGATGTTTAGTATTCTTCAACATACTTAACATCATAAGCATATTCAAATAAAAAATGTGTATAGTAACTTGTTCAGATCATAATATTACTAACATAAAACCGTCCTAAACTCAAATTCAATCTGGTCAACAGATAAATAAATAGCTCCTTGAAATTTTTGAGCAATATAAATGTAATAAAATCTAAGAAAAGTTTAATATGAACAAAAGAGTAATTATTTCATTTTTAAAAAGTCAGCTCATTTCAGAAAAGGTTAAAACAATTATAATTTTTAAAAAATATCTTCAAATTTGTAATCGCAAAAGACACGAATAAATGTATTGGATTATAGGCGACTTTCAAAATATATATTTTCTTAGCTTTTAATTGTTTCGCCGAATAAGAAAACCTAATTAAGTTGTTTCTTTATTTTAATTTGATTCAAAAACTAAGAATTTTATAGTCAGATAATATTATATCAATCAAAATTCTAATTTCGACCGATTACGGTATAATGAAAATGGAATATTATTATTCATTTACAGATTAAATGAAATATTTTTGAAATTGGAAATCTAGTATCACTGCTTTCAATTATTTAAAACTTTTAGAAATCAAAAATCATTTAAACCTTTTCTTCATAGGTATTAACTCCTAATATTTATATTTTGATAATCTTTCGTAAATATTATAACAACAAATAATAAATTTTCACATTATTATATTATTATTTGTTGATAAGAGATAATAGTATATCGATAAAGATTTAAAAATTTGCTTTGCTTTTTTCACAGCCATAGATAAATAAACAAATCTGCTAAATAAATTATTTATTGCTTTAAAATAGGATTTCTTCTAACGAATATTTATTTTTACTTAAAAAAATAGTTCATTAATGTTTTTTCTAATCTTACTGTTTATCACAATTGTTTTGTAATTTTAGTTTATTAGTTTACATAGCGGGTTTATTTTGATTTAAAAAAATAACTTTATTATATTCAAATTTGTCATATTTTAGGAAACACATACTTACATACTAAAGTAAATGAATGTAGAGAAAACAATTAAACTATTTGGTAGATTATAAGATTTTGACACTTAAAAGACTTTGAGTTATTTTGTGAGATAGGAGATAGGGTTAATTTTAAGTGAGATATAAACAATTTTGTTCGCTTTTAATACAGACTCTTACAGTAAGTGATTTTTGAAAAATTCTTATTTTTATTTCGAAAGAAAATGTACGAGATTTCGAAAAGGTTCCATACACGACTGATATAACGTCTAAGAAATATTATGATACTCTGCTGAAAAAGATCCATTAGGTACTATTCAATATAATTCGAATCGAATAATATTAATCAATCATATAGAATAAAATGAATGAATAAATTTTTGAATGATTAAAGAATAAATCTTCTATGAAATTAAAAGAGTACCCGAATAACACAAAAACATTTCTAAAACATTTTTAAAACGTTTTTGATAAAACATTAAAACGTTTTGGGACTTTGGTGATGAAAACGTTTTGAAAACTTCTTGAAAACGTGATATATGTCCGCAAATTTTTTAGTATTTGGGAATGAGGTGGAATTATAAAACGTTTTAGAAACGTTTTGAAAACATTTTGAAAACGGTTTTTCTTTTTAGAAATCCAGGATTACCTGAATATTTTAACGTTTCCAGGACGTTTTAAAAACGTTTTGAAAATGTTCTCTTTAATGTAATTTTCAGAATGATTGCCGTTTCAAAACATTTGCAGAACGTTTTCAAAACGTTGTCAAATTGAATACTAAAAATTCATAAAAATGGTTTGTACGCATATTAAATAAAAAATATTTCTAAAATAGTTAGTTTTTTTATTGACAATTTTTCTTCTAATTTACAGTTTACAAATTTTTATATATTCAGTTAATAATTCAGCACATGTAGAACGCAACAATACATAATTGTTCGCTTTACAAAAAATTACAATCTTGAATATGGAGGTTATCGAAATTCGATCAAATTATATAAATAAATCTTAATAAAATAATACAACAGTAAAAAAATGTATAAAGTGAATGTAATGAAACTTTAAGTTCCTTCCAAAATCGTGCTAAAAGTGTTCTTTATAAATTAGTCTATCATGAATTCAAAGATTTGTTTGAATTTATTTGAAATAAATGAGCAAAGCATACATTTTTTCGGCACAAATTGAGTTTAAATAGTTATTTTGTACATAAATAATTACGTGAAAACTCTATATTTTAAATTACAATTAACTAAATTTTCAAATGTTAGAATAGTCTATGGAATTGTTAAATTTCAATAAGCTAGATTTTTTGAATAAAAAAATACACTGAGGTATGTTATTGCAATTTTAGTATAAGGAAACCCGACCGTAATATTAAATAACATATAAACATAATAGCCAATATAAACATAGTAGAAAAATACGGCGTTCATCTATCTATCTAAATCTTATTTACACACTTGTTACACACAATAATAATCTGAAATGGTCAAGCAAATCTACAAAAACATCCGTACCGATTTTATTAAAGAATTCGAATATTTTTACATATTCTTTACAAAGTTAGTAAAAGTTATGAACATTCCATTTATTCGCATGACAATTCCTTTCCTACACTTTGATTATAAAATTATATACATTTTTTAAGTTTCTATTTGCTGGTAAATTACAAAGCTAAATAGAGAATTCAAATTTTTTTAAAAGTATGAATAATCGGCACTGCAACAAATTCTTCTTCAAAGGGCTTGTTAACAAATAATTCTCTTTCGATAAATTCATCGTCAGTAAATTCATCTCCTACTCGTTCAAATGGTAATAAACATATTTTCGCAAAAATATTTTCATACGGGAACCTCTTAGAATTTTTTACTTTACTAGATTTGATAATATTTATATTTAAGATATTAGATTTTAATGGGTATTCGTAGAAGTTTTCAACTATTTCAAAAGGATAGCCTTCAACATATATTTGTTCAGCAATCTTCAAAAAAAATTAACATTCTAAATACGTGCCATTATTAAGTAATACGTATTTATCTTTGTCATTACGGCAATCTATCTTAAGAAATTAAGAGGGAAAAGTATTTTTAAATTTCAAGTTTTTCACTCAAAAAGTGTACCAATAGTCATAGCGACCCTAAACAAGGAATCCTTATGAATTTTTTTCCTAAAAAACTTTTTAGAGTTTCTTTTCGATGGTGCAATTTTTTCGTCAACTTCGTGTTTTTTATGATCAAAGTTCTACTGATCTCAACGATCGCTTACATTGTGTAAAATATTCTATTTTTCTTTATATAATTATATAATTGGGCATAAATAAGAAGAAGGGGAAAAAGAAGTGAGGGGCCATTATGGCAGGGGTAAAACTTCCTTCTAGAGTGAGTTATGTATTAATATATTGCGTTATACTCCAACAAAATAAAAATAAGAAAAATACGTAAGAAAACGTAGTCAAAGAACTACATACACGGTCGTGGTCTTTCCAATTCGAATGAACCCACCAAAGTTTTTCTATTTTTAGTATAATCAATCTAGCCCGGAAATTGAAACGTTGTGCATCAACTGGCCAATTATATTTCTAAGTGTATTTTGGCCCCAGGAATTCGAATTTCGGATTGGCCAAGTGAAATTTTTCTGAGGAAACCGTGAAAATGAAGAAAAACGGTAAAATTTTTTGTTTTTCACAATTATCTCAAAAACGACTCGAAATTTCGAAAAAAAGTTTCGAACAAAAGTTGTAGATATTAAAATTTTACATCGAAATATGTTGTCGCACGTCCTTTTTTGTCCAAAGGAAGCGAAATATGCTATATGAAGCGAGTATATTTTGAAGTTATGTTGTACATTTTTCTCGAATAAAATTATTTTAATCTAACGAATCTCATTCAATTTAAGTGGATGTCTGTTTTACCGGCTGTTTAGTTTTTTTAGTTTTCTCAAAAACATGACCATTTTTGGAATTTTCCCGAGCTATCCGCGCTGCATTTTTTCAATTACAAGCATTTTCCAAAGTTTTATAGCCATAGGTTTGTTTGTTTTTAGGAAAAGTTGGAAAAACTGATCACAGTAACGGAAAGAGAGTTGGTGGCAGTTCATGATCTGTTTTTCCAACTTTTCCCGAAAACAAACTAAACGATACTCATGAAACTTTGGCAAATGATTGTAATTGAAGAAACGAAGCGCGGATAGCTCGTGAAAATTTAGAAAATGGTCACATTTGGGAAAAATCTAATTAACTTAAAAAACCGGTAAAACAGGTATCTATTAGTAACTCTACGTCCTCTTAAACTGCATAACAGTCCTTTTTGCTTAATCCTTCGGTTCAAATTAAAATAGACAAAATTCCCGTATTTTTGGGTCCAGTTGTTCCAAATAGCTTATTTGCAGAAGGCTGAAGCTGACAAACAGGCTGAGCAACCGTTGCAAGGACGAAAACTTTTTATCAAAATAAATTCAGGAAAGCAGTGATATCACATCATATGTCGGCAAGCATTTTATTATTTTTATAAATGCATGTTAATCAAAACAATAATCATAGTAAAAATCACGGTGAAATTAATTCAGGAATGAAATGATATCTCTAGTTGAAATCAAGCAAGCATTTCGTTATTG